TTATGTAACAATAAAAAGTGTGGAGATAATTTGCCATATCTCCACACTTTCTAACATCTTTTCATTTATCTTTATTACACTGCCTCATACATATGCAATGCATTGCATATTATCTTTCTATTTAATTTCCTGACACGCTTCCATGCATTTTCAGGATATGTTATATTTTCATTAACTTCATGATATTTCTTCATATATTTTTATGACATATTATCTTTTCATTTATTTTCATGACATCATGGCACTTCTTTGCGTCATTGTGCAGCTCAACAACTATTTTTTGTTGCTGCCAACCACCAAGCTTGACAACAACCATTTTTTTTTGTTTCCTGTTGCATGAAATTTCTTAACTGGTCTTAGATGCTTTCGTATTGCTGATTTCGAATCTGAAACCGGTTTCTTTTCCCAAGCCACAATTTTTATTTTAAATTACATTTTTGACTATTTTTTGTCAAACTGTGCAAGCTTACAAATGCTATATATAATAGGGGACCACATGAATTTTGAGACATACTTTTAGAGGAGTTAGGATGTATCATCAGTATTAAAACTGTACATGAAACCATGATTAGAAATGTCATCATAAGCCACTAGGGACATTTCCCCGCAACGAGTTACTTCTTTGCGTGCTTCTGAGCAGCTCATATTAGAGAAACGTCCCGTGTATGACGACATTTTCGAGCATGGGTTCCTAAGCAATTTTAATCCTGATGATGTTTCCTAACTATCTTACATATACGTTTTAACATTTCTGCGATTCCATGTTATATACAACTTTTCTTAATTTGTATATTTCGGTAAAAAACAGACTAAAAATGTCATTAAAAAGTGCATTTTTAGGAGAAATGATAATTTCAGATCTGAAATTCCCACACCCGTATTAGACAATATTAAGTATTCGTATAAATGCAACAAAAAATTTGTTCCACAGTGTTATCTTTCTAATTATCTTCCCAACATATTATCTTCATAACATCATGACATTTAATGTTTATGTTTATCCACAATAAGCTTAAAGCACAGAGTATTTGTTCTCAAATACACTCTATAGCAAAAAAAAAAATCGACGCACCAAGAAGGAGTTGTCCGATTGAAACGAAAATTAATGGATTGGAAGACAATGTACAGAATAGTAAATGATTAAAGTTTCAGAGCAATTGAATAATTTATTGCAGAGTTACAGTAACAAGTTTAATAAGGTGTTGACCCGCCTTTAGCCTGGATACATGCTGCCACACGGAGTGGCATAGACCGATAAAGCTCCCGGATGGTCTCTTGCGGTATTTCCTGCCAAATTCGATTCAATTGTCGAACGAGGTTATCAGCATTTCGTGCCAGATGCAATCGCCTTCCCATCATATCCCAGACATGCTCGATGGGAGAGAGATCTGGTGATCTGGCAGGACAAGGAAGAGTTTGACAAGCATACAGATAGTTCATAGAAACACGTGCCGTATGTGGTCTGGCATAGTCCTGCTGAAAAACCAGCCCTGGGTGCTGCAAAAGGAACGGTAGCAAAACAGGTCTTAGGATGTCGTCGACGTACCGCTGTGCAGTAAGTGTACCTCCGATGACGACCAAAGGAGTCCGGCTGTCAAAGGAAATGGCACCCCAGATCATAATGCCTTGTTGAGGGCCGGTGTGGCGTGCAATAGTGAAGGCAGGATCCCCAACTCTGCCGTGTGCGTCTCCAAACACGTCTTCGATGATCGTCAGGACATAGTTGGAAGCGGGATTCGTCGCTAAAAACTATACGTCCCCAGTCGGCATCATTCCAGCCATATCTGTTTAAAACATTCATGCATAGGAAATTTCAAAGCAATCGGATGATTGCTTCTTGGTGCGTCGATTTTTTTGTTATAGAGTGTAATTTGAGAACATGTTCTGAAAATTTAAACATGGACCTAGTTTTCATACAAGGTCAAATGTAAGACACACACAAAAATTCTTATAACCCAAAAAATTTAGTTAACAAATTTTAATATATACGACTCAATTCGTTAACCGCACACAATACAAAAAATAATGCATGATTTTTTTTTGTTTGCTTGTAAGTAAAAATAAATAAATAATGTATTCCATTAAGATTTTTCACATTTATTTTCCAGTTGGATATGTTTTTTCATTAAATATTTAGAAATGAAGTAACAATAGGATTGTTGTAATTTGAAATATTCCTACACATTTCTATGTTAAAGTTACGTTTAATAACGGAAAATTCGATACTAAGAAGATTTGTGTAACATACTTTGAACTAAACTTCTCCCTTTATATTAACTACTTCTCTTAGAAGTTAAAGGTTTAGTAATATCCGTTTTGTTGAATGTTCGCTAACATTTGCGATAAGGCAGTTCTAGATTGATATTGTCACAAAATTAAGTTTAAAAGTGGAAATAAATGAAATAATTTTTGTACGAACTTTTATCCCTATATTACACACACTGTTTTTTTATATTTATTTGATGAATTAAATTTTTTTAAATGTCTCAGTAGGTTTATAAAAGAAGTTTCATGTAATTTTTAAAAAAAATTCACTTTTTGTAGCATATTTGTAAGAAATATTTCTATATATGCTTGTAGTATAATAAGTATGTATTATGTAGTATTTAAGTTGTACATTTGTATATTTGTAAAATAGGAAGGATTTGAAGTTATTTTTAAGAAAGAAATTAGTTTTATGTGTGATAAAGAAAATTCTACTTTGAAAAGGGTTAAAGGTTTATAGACAATGGCGGCTAACGAGCTGTGTATCGAATCTCAGGAAAGAGAGCTCTCGCTTTCCAGTGAATCGAATCTCAGCGATGATTGGTCGATACCAATTCCGCTTCCTGCTCGCACCGACCGCAGTACTTACGTAAAATATCCTCAGTATGGTAGACGTATCATGGGTTAGAGTGACATCAGGTTAACCGTGGGAGTTTTTTGTACTTTTCTTCTACATGTAACGCATAATTGCGGGAAAATTTTATCAAAAAAGTCCTTCATAATGGTAAATTTCTCCCTAGTACTTGATCAAAGAGTTCCTTTGTCTTCTGGATTGAGTTTAAAATTGCAAGACTACGGAGTTGAACATTAGTAATCTTAAACTCAGAAAAATGGGTCGACTCTTCATCGATGGTAATAAAATAAAATAAAATGGTTGTTATTATAGGGTCGGCTCCTTCATTGGACCACTCCCTTGTATCAGCAGCAGGTGTTTTCTGTCGACTGTTTACTTTACCTTAAAAAAAGTTTTAATTTGATTTATATGGTTTTAAAACTGCAATTTCGACTGTGAGTTAATTCATGTTAAAAAAGAATTTTTTTAAATACTTTTCTTTTAATTTTTCACTGCAAATAAATCATAGATAGCACTGAAATATCAATAGTGATTAAGTTGCAAACGGTAATATTTAAAATTGCGTTTCAGCAGCGTTATTCAGTGATATAAACAATGATTGTTTACTTTGCTGCAAACGAATTTTCGAACGCATCGATTGCTTGTTGCCTTTAATGAGGCATTCTTAGTAGCTATGAAAGGCTGGTGACCAAATCACAAGAACATTATACCCATTGTTTCATAGAAAATCCCTGGCCTAATGAAGGCAGCTAGTTTTCTTCATTGGACCTGTCCAACTTATTTTCATGACCGTGTAACTATAACTTATGTAATATATATTATTTAACTTATCTAATGTAACTTATATCGATAATCGGTATAATTATATTTCTTAAGCTTCCAGATTCCTTCGTTTACTTATTTCAATGAAAAATTCGTTCAAATGAACATTTTGAACAATAATTACACTTACAATGGCAAATACGGAAGGCAGGAAGCGGGGACCCATTGTTCAAAAATGCTATGGGAAGATGCAGGGTGGTGGGATAATTTGATAGTATGCTAAAATAGTATTATTTTCAAAAGTTTTCTTTATTAATATGTATAACATTATTTTTATTTACTCACATTTGATATTGCTTTGATACATACTTACAAAATATTTTTTAAGAAAAATATAAATAAACCTCATGCTCTTCATGTTGTGCAAAACCATGACATTGTTATCACGTTATGCTGAATGCTGAGCTATTTGTAACGATTTGTAACTTTTTCACTAGATGACTAATTGTATTCAGCCCATGGATTACATCTCAATATTCAAACGAACATACTTTAAAATGCTTTTATTAACCAGCAGAAACATTTCACAAAGCTGACAGATTTGAAAAAGTTTCATTTATACTTCAGTTTTAAAGTGGAAAACCCCTATTAACACCTTTATCTATACTCAAAAACCCCTATTAACCCCTTTATTTACACTACTTTGTGACCTCTATTTCTAAATTCTGATGAGTGTTACATACGATCGTGAGAGTGTATTAAAATTGCTGAGCAGTTATTTCGTTCATAACAACTTATCTTTATACAAAATTTCATTAAAATAGATCCATCAGTTCTAGAAATAAACTTGGACTACCTCTCAGAATGAAGAAAAAATTACTTATTACTTTTTTGAGAGAGACTCTCGGGAAAATGTGGAGACCAATCAAATATGGAGATTGTTAGGAGAATTAGGAGTAATTTAGAGTTAAGTGAAATATATAAAGGAAAATATGTGGTTAATTTAATAAAAACAAAAGGAATACAATGGCTTTGACATCTGGAGTGAATGAGTGAGGAAAGAGCAACAAAGAAAATCTATAAAGGAAAATTATAAAGGAAAACTAGAGGAAAAGAGAGAGGTCGGATGCCTTGGAGAAAGATGGCTTGATGAAGTAGAAACAGAATGAAAAAAATGAAAATCAAAAATTGGAGGATACGGGCTAAGAACGGGAAAAAAGGAGGTGTGTGGTAAAGGAAGTTAAGGTCCTTCATGGACAGTAGAGCCGGGGAGTAGTAGTAGTTTTAGAAATACATCTGGTTCCCAACTTGAATACTAGCTACTGAAGGATCTATAAGTGTTATGTTCACAATTGTGATTTAACGTTAAACGAAATTCGAAACTTGAAAGGAATCATACCTATGCTTCTATGAAGAGGTGAATCAGTATCAGTAGATGGTAATTGAGTGAATCCCGGAATGGGTTGAGAGGTTAGGTAATATACACCCTGAAGAACATCAGCAGCGTGCATGCGATTATGATCTGAAATTTAGAGGAAAAGAATAATGATTCATACAAAACTTCAATTCAAATATAAAGAGAAACTATTGAAAAGTTAAATAACATCTTAACAAATTTTCAAATAATAGTATTCAGTTAATTTAATATAAATAACATTTTTGCTAATACAGATACATTTTTGTACAAAATTTATTTTTGACAAAAAAATTAGTTTTAAAAAAAAAAAATCAATTGTAAAACATACATAAAAATTAGTGAAAATTAATGAAAATTAATTAAAATGTAATAAATGCAGCAAATAGAAAATATGAACATTTTAGATGTATTGGTTGTTCCAAGATTGATAGTTTCATTTTATCAATTTATAAATATTTTCTTCAGATATCTTATTTTACTTCCATGCTATAGAAGAAAAAAAATAATTAAAATGAATTAGATACGAGAAAAGAGGAAATATGAACACCCTTGACCCAGATTGCTTAAAAATTAATTTTATCAATTTGTAGATATTTTCTTCAGATATCATATTTTTCATTCACTCTATGGAAAGAAAATTAAATAAAAAGAAAAGGATACGAACAAATATTATGTATAAAAACTCTTGACTGAAAGTGACAGGTAGTTTAATACCTCATTTTATCAATTCACAAATATTTTCTTCAGTTATCATATTTTCCTTTCTTGCTATGGAAAAAAAAGTAATTATTTCGAGATATTATTCAATTTATATTCGAGAAAGAAGGAAATATGAACACTCTTGAATAATAGTGACAGGTAGTTTAATACTTCATTTTATCAATTCACAAATATTTTCTTCAGATATCATATTTTCCTTTCTTGCTATAGAAGAAAAATTAATTAAAATGATTTAAATTCCGGAAAGTAGGAAATATGAACATTCTTTAAAAATAGTGACATGTAGTTTAATACTTCATTTTATCAATTTATAAATATTTTCTTCGGATATCATATTTTCCTTTCTTACTGTAGTAGAAAAATTAATTAATATGATTAAAATTCCGGAAAATAGGATATATGAACATTTTTTAAGAATAGTGACATGTAATTTAATACTTCATTTTATCAATTTATAAATATTTTCTTCGAATATCATATTTGCCTTTCTTTCTATGGAATAAAAAGTAATCAAAATGATTTAAATCCGAGAAAATAGGAAATATGGACACTCTTGACGAATAGTTACAGATTGCTCAATACTTTATTTTATAAATTTATAAACATTTTCATCTTATATCATATTTTCCCTTTTTCTTGTAGAAGAAAATTGAATTAAAAGGATTTAAATTCGAAGAAATTGGAAATTTGAGCACTCTTAAAGAATAGTGACATTTAGTTTAAAGTTTCATTTTACTCATTTATAAATATTTTCTTCAGATATCATATTTTTCGTACATGCTATAAAAGGAAAATTAATTAAAATGAAATGAATAAGAGCAAATAGGAAAGTTGGAATTTCTTGACCAATAATATTGGTTGATTTAAGAGTGACAGTTTTGTTTTATTATATTAGAAACAGTTTCTTTTGATGCTTATATTTCATGTATGACGTAGGAGGAAAAATAATTAGAATGAAATAGGTACAAGAAAATATGAAACAAGAAAACTCTTGACGAATTATAGCGAGTTGTTTAATGCCTCATTTTATCATTTTATAACATTTTCTTCAGATATCACGTTTTCTTCCGCTCATGTTAGAGAAGGAAAATTGATTAAAAAGAAATAGATACGCGCAAATAGGAAATATGAAAATTTTTGTCGAATAATGATTGGTTATTTTAAGACTGAAGAGTCTTCTTTCATCAAGCTAGAAATATTTTCTTTAGGTATCAAATTTCTTCCTTATGCTATGGAAAAAAAATTAATTGAAATAAAATATGTTTGAGCAAATGGGAAATATGAAAGTTTTTCTCCGAAAATAACTCACTCTGAAATATCCTTTAACTAAATAAAACAGTTTCTGCTACAATAATGAAAACAACAACAACAAAAAAAAACTACTCGTAGATTTTGTAATTAAAAATCTATTTAAGAGTATTTTATTCAAATTCATGGAATAGTTTAGTAAAATACTTGAAAATTTTTTTTTAATGCCTCCAACTTTATTCTTTAACTTTTATTTCTACATTTTTATTATTTCAAATTGTTTTGTTAGTCACAAAGAAGCTCTAGGTTTAAGATAAAGATAAAAGAGCCGCCATAAGGTTTTGAATTGTTGATATAGGTTAAAAAAATAATTATAAAAAAGTAGTAAAAAGAAAATGCTGAATTTTCTGAGAAAAATTAATGAGTTTAATTTACAAGAAATTCATTTGAAAATTATTTTTAATTATGTATTTTAGTTTTGAATAAAAGTTGTTTTCAAATTCTGGTAAACATATTTTCTCCAAATATAATAAAATGCTATTCTCTTTTTTAAATTATAGGCAGGCTGAATAACTATAGATAGTTTACGAAATTAAAGAAAAAAGTAATAAAATCCAAATCTATATGAAGACATTTCAGGTAAAAGAAACATTTTTTCAGGTTAATAAAACCAAAATATACGACACTTAAGCTATTCAATTGTCAATGGTTTACCAGAACTTCTAGTTTTCAAAATTATAATATTTTTTATCACCCATTTAGTAAAAAAAACAAAGCTGGAAAGTAAGTTTAATCGATTAAAGTATCAAATTTTACCACATTTATAAAGTTTATCAGATATCATAAGACAATATTTCAATGTTAATTTTACATAAATTATTAAAAAAGAGCTTCGATAAAAACTAACGAGCTTATTGGAGTTTACACAGAGCAGGAATCACGGTAAATTTTATCACATTCAGGAAGTTTTGGCCACATTTTTTTCCTTAGTGTATCAAAATATAATATTTAAAACACGCATAATTATTTTCGAAATTTTCTCAGTTTTACTTTATTTACTTTTGTATCTGAAGCCAAATTTTTAACCCTTTTTTGATAAAAAGCACTTGAACTTCGCCTAGATCTCTATGCAAAACTAAATTTAAAGCACGAATTGTTTCTTACCGTTGCAATTAGGATTTTATGCCATTTTGAAGACAAAAATAATTTATTGATAATTGAAATTCCCAACTTTCTCTGATGTAAAACAAACTTACAGACAAAGCAATAATGAATAAGGTAATAGAATAAAAAAAAAAACTTGATTATGTTTTTTACATTTTTCAAAAAAAATAAAAATAATATTTTTAAAAACCACGTTTTTGTAGTGGAGTATAATAATTAAAAAACAAAAATTTGAAAAGCAAAAAACGTGGGGAGCATGAAATACATGACAGTAACAGTATGTGTGCTCATGAGAATATGAGTATGTGTATCTGTAATTGTATCTGAATGTGGATGTGTTTGTGGTTTTGCATGTGTACGAGTAAGAAAATGTGTATATGTATGAGTATATGTACTTCATGCGCCCCACGTTTTTCGTTTTTCAAATTTTTGCTTTCTAATTATTATTCCGCACTACAAAAACGTAGTTTTTAAAACTATTATTATTATTTTTTTTGTACTCACTTCCAAATTTGCACAACTTCGAAAATTTTTTCACTCACTGTACACAAAACGCTTCAACTGACATGCGACACTAATTTGAAATAATCCAATCGACAACAAAAAGACAATCACGAAAATATTAATTTGTCTTTAATTTTAATTTCATTTTACTTTGTATGTCTTTTTTCTCTTCATTTTCACGCCAATTCTGAGCTGTGTGCCAAATTTGAAGTCTTTAGCTAATCGGGAAGTTAGTTTAAAATCGATTACAAAATTCCACCCGAACAGACATGCACGAAGGCACGTTGATATAAACGTGGTAAAATATAAAAGCTGATTTATTTTTTCCACACCAAAAACAAAAAATGAGAAGAATCATTTTCGTAGTTAAATTCTATCCCATATTTAAAATGCCTCATACGTCTTTCAAAATTGATTCTTCCCATGTTTTGTTTGTTTGGGTGTGTATATAACGTACAAAAATGTATGTTATTATGTGGTTTAGCCCCTTGCAAACCCCAATGATTGTGTAGCAATAATCGTTGTTTCTTGGCATAAAAAATCTTTTTTTTTAACGAAAATTCATTCAAAATATGTGTACTAAAAGAATTTTGTTTGCTTAACGCTCATGTCCCCACAACCCACGTCCAAATATTTCCCTTATGATTTAATTAAGATTTATTACTGAACATAAGTAATTTTTCTAAGCAATCATTTTTTAAAAATAACATTTAAAGGTATAAGTATATTATTATTACAAATTTGGTGAGTTCCCAAACGTAATTTAATATTTTCGCTTAGTAAATGAATTGATATATTAAAAACAAATTTCGTTTGCATCACATTGTGCATTAAGCTGTCGTTAAGTTCTAAATCATTTAGCGAATCTCTTTAACTGTAATTTATAATAATATATTAATAAAATTTGTACAAAAATAATAACGATTAATAAGATTAGACCCCAATTTAAATAACTGTATCGTAAAATCTAGCGTAGGATAACTTGCAATAAAAAAAATTCGCTTAATTTTAAACTCTTAATTTGGAAAACATTCAAATTCCAAACCGTAATAATCGCAGCACAGGTAAATATCTTTTTGGATTCTGGGAAAACTGGATCCTACCATGTGATTTTCGGCCATGTGATTTGTTTCCTTGTTCAAGTCTATCATTTCTTATGTTTGAATATATGAATAAAACCGATATTTCATGATATATAAGAAAATTCTAAATAATACGTTCATTTTATTATTCATTAGGTTCTTTCATTTCATATTAAAAATAGTTATGATGAATCATGATTTAAAAACAAAATAAAAAAATTTCTTAGTAATTATTTTCTGTTATGAAACGCAAATAATATTGCGTCCTGAAAATATCAAATAGAAGGAAAACATGTTCATTTTTTTGAGTTGTAACGTAATAAAAAACATTGATTTATTTTAATAAAAAACTGAAAATTTCACCACTTATAAATATTTAAGTCCTAG